TTGAATCATGAACCTCCTCATGAGTGTCTTGCAGAGGAGGAGAGTGAGTGGTCATCTGAAATAACAAGGTCCGAGGAGTATACTGAGCTGGAAGGCTTGTCCAAGACAGTGAGGCAGAGGATGTTCGTTGAGAGGGACTACCACCACTGGTCCCTTCGCCGACAGATACACCAGTGCCACCATCTACACCGCCGTTAGATGTAGAAGCATTGGCGTCGGCTCCAGTGCCACCACCGCCTTCACAAAGGATGGCAGTGCGTTTGGACCCACCATCACTGTTGACGGGTAAAGCGGCTCGGCATTTGGAGCCAACACTGCCTGCATCAGTGGAGCTTGGAACTCCGGCAGTTTCTTTTCCACAAGAACCGGCGGCTGTTGAGCTTCCACGAGAACCGACGGCTCCTCTTCCACGAGTACCGGTTGTTCCTCTTCCACCATTTCCGGCGGTTCCTCCTCCACGACCACTGACGGTTTGTGAACCACCAGAGCCGTCAGATAGAGCGGCGGCAACACCCTTTCCTTTTCCACGAGAGACAGACGTGTCTTTTCCACCACCAAATCGGTCTCTTTCTCTTCCACCACCACCGTCGGTGGCGGCGGCTTTACCAGTATTTCTATTAGCTATGTGTTTACACATCGCGATTCAAAGGAATGAAGAATCGTGATGAAGAAGAAAAGTTAAGGTTTGGAGAAAAAGAAGAGAAATCGAATCGATTAGGTTCGAGTAATGGACAAGGAGGCGATTGATCGGAAAAAGAGAAAGTAGAGAAGAAGGAGGCGATTTGGTCGAGAAAAATCGAGTTTATCGACGGAGAGGCAATTTTGACGCCGTCGAGTCGAGAGAAAAAAAAATGGGTTTAGAGTAAAATGAAATTAGGTTTCGGCATTTGACTATTTATTTACCGTAGGCATGGCTAATCCGTCGTAAAACATCACAGATTATATTTTGAAGGGAATTTTAGGCGCCCAAAGGCCCAAAAATATTCGCGAAATGGGCTAAATGTTTCGTAATCCGAAATGAAAAACGGTCACAAAAGTGTCACAACAACAAATCCGTCACAATAATGTTGCTCAAGCGTCGCAAATTTACGACTATTGCCTGACTCTCTTAGTGGTTACAACTCGAAATCCTATGCCCTAAACATTTAACCTCATAATTGGGTGCCAAATCCCTTCCCAAGCTCTTTTTCATATACTTGAAATCTTATTGGTAAGTATATTGAGTGATAAATACGGGGGG